TATATATATATATATATATATATATATATATATATACATTTACCTAAATACAATATATATATCATACCCATATCATGTACTGAAATATTTTGAAAAATATAAATGATATGATGAAGTATTTTAAATGAAAGTAAAATATATTCTCATAAGAGGCAACATACTAAATATTACCCTGATATTTGATAATGACCTTGAAAAGTCTTGCAAAAGACATATTTGTATTTTTATATGAAAATGTATATTTCTGATTGAATATTCATATAGCTGACATTAAAAGATTTTCAACACATTTATATTTGTAGTTTTTCGTATACCTATTAGTTTTTGTATAAATTATTGTCCAAATATGAAATTTTGACAAATTTCCAATTTTACATTGTCGTATATTACAATATTGGTTACTCAATATTATAGGATGATTGCTCAGTTGGACAGTTTATACATCATAATGACTCTAAAAAGCGCCAAGTTTGTACATGTGTGTGTAAGCAATTCAATTTCACATTTTTTCATTTGACAATTTGACAATTTTTTCATTTTGACAAAAGGCATTAAATTGGCAATAATCAGCTTCTAATTGGTAATAATTATAAATAATTTTCTGTTATTTGAGTTAATTATGCTAATTTCTTAGCACTTATTCACTTTTATTTTCTTTTAATATCCTGTTTATCAAAAACTATACTCCATTGTTTCCATATCTCTTAGGTAGTCTCATTGTCAATGGCGGTTCGTGGTTTGAAATCGTGAAATAAACTTTCGAAATGCACATACACATTGTAAATACAATGAATTTTTTTTATTTTTTATATAAAATAAGAGAATTATATAGAGTTGTCGACGATAAAATTAAATATTACAGGCGAATATAAATAAATTAATAAATATATTTATGTATCGAAAAAAATTGGGGGTGTTGCATGAGTCGTCCCTGCATATGCACGAGCCGTTTCTGTTCTCCTTCTACATTTTTTAGTAGACATAATTTTATATACGTCAGTAATTCTTACTCTCAATATGTAGATATCATTCAGGAACATGTTATAAACGAATTGAATTTCAGTATTCCAACTGAACAATTTTTCCAACAATTTACCCATAATGGGTAAAAATAAACAACGTGGAAACTCGTGTCTCGATAATAATTTATCTAGAAACTATTATCGAGGTGTACAGTGTTTCGAAAAAATATTTTCGATATAGTATACGTAATTAAAAGTATTGATTTCCGGTTAAAAGTGAAACATGACTTTTATTTAAAAAATACTAAATATTAGAACAATGTATTGTCCTTCGTATT